AAACTGAATTGCTTTGTACATATCAAAATAACGCGTTTTGTTTAAAATAAACTTTATTCGAACTTTTGTTAAAAATTAGGCAAACTTATTATCCAGTTGGATAATCCTGTTGAAGATTGGCCCACTACATCCAAAGAAAATCTCAATAAAGTCAGTGCACTTTTTTTTAGATCTCAAAAACCCGAAAAAAGCGAAAAATTCTTCATAAAATCTAATACAAAAATTACGCGGTTGGCCAACTATGTCCAAAAAAAATTGCAGTTAAGTCAATGCCCGAAATTCGGCTATATCTCAAAAACTGTTCTACTCTCTTTATTTTTTTCCGTTTTAGGATTCGGCGGAAAATTTAACATCAGAATGCATATAAAACTGTCGCAGATCGGAAAATTAAGTAAACTTGTATTATTGTCGACAAAAATGCAGAGCGGACCCGAGTGCGTTCTATTATGAAAAACTTGTAGTCCTTTTTCCACGCCCATTACAAATTATATATCGTTGGAAAGCTTAGAAAATAAGCCATTTGCAAAAAAAAAAAACAAAAACCGTACATTGTTTAAAAAATGCAATACAATTTTTGGTTTAAAACTTTTTGCCAAAAAAAAAACGTTGCTAAAAGTTTTAGCTTCCACTAAAAAGCACGAAAAAATTTCTAATAGGTCAGCAATTTTTGCTTCTCTATTATGAGTGTGACATGAGATAAGAATTTTAAGAAAGCTTGCGACTCAAAGAAGAAGGGCTGAAATTTTCATGTTTAAACTCGTATTACTCGACAAAAAACCGCTATAGAAGAAAAATCTTTTACGCATTGGTTACCAACCAAGAATGATAGAATACAAGATTGCGCCGATTAGAGCGGATTTTTGAGAATAACTTTTGTGTGACGTCACACTGGTGCAATTGCGAGAGAGAAATGCCAAAACGTGAGCAAGAATGGAAGAAGAAGAAAAAATGTTGCAAGGAAAACGTAAACAAGTTGCACAAGTGTGACGTCAGGCAAACAGCGATTCTGTCAAATTCGTTAAGAGAGGAATAGCGGTCCGAGATCGGCACAACCTTTGTATTCTCTCAATCGTGGTTACCAACAACATGGTAAACTTGGCAAAATTGGCCCCAAGAATAATTTTCAATACGCTGAGATATAGCTGGCTAAAGTGAACATTTTATCGTATTTTCCGATTTAAAAAAAGTTAAATGTAATCAAATCCTGGCACCGACCACGAACTTTTTTTTTTTAATTGTGCAATTTTTGTGGATGTCTATTTTTGTATGTAGAACAAAATAAATGGATGCTGCGCACAAAATTTAGATGCTGATATTTTAAAAACTACCTTAATGTACATGTATAAGGGTGGCCCAAAAATTCATGTGCAATAGTAAAGTCGGAATTTTCCTGCTCTCACCCCCTAGGATTGTTCTATACCGAAAAAATTATACGCCATTTTTTTTTTTATAAAAAAATATTTAGAAGTAGCTCAAAGCGCTCAAAGTTTCTTACAGGCAAAGTTTCTAGCATTCCTGACCTACCCAGAGTAGACGTTGGAAAGGGCTTTAAGGGTACTTTAATACGGTGGACTGGTCGTCATAAGGGCCCTCTCTGATAGAATGATCACCTCGAAGTGCTTCCCCAAGGGATTTTGGCACTCTTCAACTCTTGGCAACAAATAAACCCAGCAGAAAAGTAATGGGTACCAGGCCACTGCGATATCGACAAGGAAATTCTCATCGTCGGTCAATGTGAGGCCGGAAGCATTTTAGGGACTTTCTCGAGACTTATAATTACTAAGTGGATAGACCCGCAATACCACTAAGTACTGAGAAGGAGTATGGGCCCTCAGGCAAATTTGGTTTTTTGGATATCCTTTTTAACGGTCGTAGCTTCTGCAAGAGAAATTTCATAACCGTGCCATGCAGAGAATTCAATTTATAAGAGCAGCAGAGCAAATTAAATTATACAACAGTTATTCTTGAATAAATTTTAGCCTTTCCTTTGTCTGAATTTGTTCACTCAATTAACTCTTTCCATTAACCAGCATTTCACTCTGAGCATAAGTTAAGAAAATATCGAAAACAAAGGAAAATAATTTAAATGGAAGCTTCAGAGTGTCAAACCCAAACAAAAAATGGCCTTTTAATAAATTTAATTAACCGCATTTAATGTGTGCCATGAAATGAACAAGGACAACAAAATCTCCCCAAATATAAACCGCTGACTCTACACGAGTGCACAAGTGAATACTTAAGCGATTGGAAGATAAATCAAATTCAGCTGCAGCAAAATGAGCTGCCAAGTCAACAAACAGACAAAAAAAAATAAATACAGCAGGGATTACATGAAGAAGGAAAAATGAGCGCCAAGACGGTATTTTATTTATGCCACTTAAAGAAATCTGTACGGATGTGTGTGTGTATGGTCATGAATGAGAAGATATAAAATACAAGGCTAAGAGAATGATGATGGCAACAGAATCTGTGCAGAAAAAAAGCAACCACGAAGCGTGAACCAAATTTAAGATGAATAAGCAGCCAAAAATATGTGAAGATTTAAAGTAGAGAACGCCACCTCTCTCCCAATAGTGCAGCGCCAGTGAAGGCAGCGGCGGAGCACAAGTGCCAGAAGTGCCCGAGAAGATATCAAATTTTGTATGAAAATGTATAAAGTGGCAAAAATTTAGCTTAAAAGCAATAAGATAAATACCCAAGTGTTTGCGTGTTTGTATAGAGTTTGCAGACAGATAAGTGACTGTGTTTTGTTGGCTGAACTACTAGAAAGAAAGTCAATTTGCGTATATGGAGCAACTGGGTCACACGCTGCATACTTAAGCAAATTGGTATTGCATATATGCATGTATGTATATGTTTACGTGTGTGAGTATGAATTTATTCATAAAAGAAATTCCTTTCATTTCACAAAGCAAGCGAGCAGACGCCGGCAACGCACTCCACCGGAAGGAAGTTGGCAATGGCGGAAGGAAGGAAGGAAGGCGAGACGAAGAGTCACAGGCGAGGTGTCGGAAATTCGGCCGGAAGCGCGGAAATAAGAAACTAGTGGTGTGGAGAAGGAAAATATGCATTATTAAAATGAAAAAAAATGAAAAAAAGAGTCGAAAATTAAAAATGGAAGTTGGGATAGGAGAAGGAGCTGATAAGAGCAATTAAGTTCGAATGGAGCAAAATTAATGGAATCGGTGTAATTGCGAAACATATGGTGACAGAAACAGGAATGCAGAAAATAAATGCAAATGCGAATACTATTACAAATACCTGTACTAATATGAATATGGATTTGAATATGATTATGAATATTAATAATAATATGAATATGAATATGCACCCTTCTGGTCAGCTCATTAAGTCAAGTGACATTTTGACTACTTTTGGCTACTCTTTTTTTTTGCTTATTTAATGTTAAAATTATTATAAATCAGCGTGATTTTCTAGCGTCTTGAAATGTCCATTTTAACCTACTAGAATTTAATGAGCTACAAAACTGCATACCCAAAATAAAAAGTTTAAAATTTTTTGGTGCAAATGTTAAAGTTTGTTGAAGTCAAAATGTCACTGGACTTAATCAGCTGGCCACAAGTGTACATGAAAATGACTATGAATATGAGTAGGAATATGAATATAAATAGCAAAAAGAAAATGAACATGAATATGAATATAAAATGAGAAGGAATAGGAATATGAACATGAATATGAATATACATATACATAAACATGAATATGAATAATACACCAATTTGAATACGAATGCAAATACGAGTACATACATATATGAATACGACTAGAGTGCAAATTTTAGTGCGAAAAAGATTGCCACACCAAATGCTAAAGCGAATGGTAATACCAAACCTTATTTCAATACGACCGAATGTTAATACGAATACAAATCTCAGTACAAATACGAATACGAATCAGATAGGAATTCGAACACAAATGCAACTATAAATTCGAATCCGAAAAAAATTTGAGTTCGAATGCGAATGTTAATACAAATAGAAATACGAGCCTCAATTTGAATATGAAAACGAATACCAATACCAATACGAGAGTAAGTACGAATACGAATACGAATGCCAAAGGAAATACAAATACGAATGCGAATGCGAATACAAAGCCCAACATGAGTACAAGAACGAGTACGAATTCGAGCTCGAATTTTCTTAGGAAAAAAAATTTAACACATTAATTGAAATGACAAAATGAAAAAAAAATCATTGAAGTGAACTAAAGGGAAATTAAGCGAAATGAACTTGAATAAAATGAAATGAAGTTGAAGAAAAGAAAATGAAGTAAAATTAAATA